TTACATAATGCTAACATGTTACAGTGGCAGCACAATGGTATCCCACACTTGATGTGACTCTTCTGAGATTGTCACACCACAGAGTCTTGGCAAACTGCACCTTTCAAAATAGCGCGAAGCTTGTCACTCAAAAAAGGAGCAGGATCTTATTTTTAGGCAACAAATGCTTATCTTAGGCTCATCCATTTCCGCACATGCTCAGTATAGATTTTGCAATGCCACCTTGAGGATGAATACCAGAAAGCATGACATTTTGATGGGAATAAAAAAAAAAAACACTCAAAATTCAACTACTTATATACCAGAGCAGTAATTTAATACATAGTATTTTATGATCTATCTTACATCCTCTGGATAGAGAGGACCAGGGGCGGACTGACCATTTGGGAACTCGGGCACTGCCCGAGGGCCCGGGGTCAGTTGGGGGCCCCATGAGATGCCCCTGGTACCTTTCATAGGCTTTTTTGGGTGTGGGCGAGGACACAGGGGCCCCATGATCCCTTATATCCCGGGGGCCCCATGAGTTGTCAGTCCACCCCTGGAGAGGACCTATTAGTAATGGTAATTATGATTCAGCTCTACACTAATAGGTATACAGGTGAAACTTGAAAAATTAGAATATTGTGCAAAAGTTAATTTATTTCAGTAATGCAACTTAAAAGGTGAAACTAATATATGAGATAGACTCATTACATGCAAAGCAAGATAGTTCAAGCCGTGATTTGTCATAATTGTGATGATTATGGCTTACAGCTCATGAAAACCCCAAATCCACAATCTCAGAAAATTTGAATATTACATGCAATCAATAAAACAAGGATTGTACATAGAACAATATCGGACCTCTGAAAAGTATAAACATGCATATGTACTCAGTACTTGGTTTGGGCCCCTTTTGCAGCAATTACTGCCACAATGTGGCGTGGCATGGAAGCTATCAGCCTGTGGCACTGCTGAGGTGTTATGGAAGACCAGCATGCTTCAATAGCAGCCTTCAGCTCTTCTGCATTATTTGGTCTCGTGTCTCTCATATTTCTCTTGGTAATGCCAAGATCACAGTAGCACAGTAAGCACAGTAATCCCACGGTCATTGAACCAGGTTTTGGTGCTTTTGGCAGTGTGGGCAGGTGCCAAGTCCTGCTGGAAAATGAAGTCAGCATCCCCATAAAGCTCGTCTGCGGAAGGAAGCATGAAGTGCTCCAAAATCTCCTGCTAGACGGCTGCGTTGACCCTGGACTTAATGAAGCACAGTGGACCAACACCAGCAGATGACATGGCTCCCCAAATCAACACAGACTGTGGAAACTTCACACTGGACTTCAAGCATCTTGCAGTGTGTGCCTTTCCATTCTTCCTCCATACTCTGGGTCCTTGGTTTCCAAATGAGATGCGAATGTTGCTCTCATCAGAAAAGAGGACTTTGGACCACTGAGCAAAAGACCAGGTCTGTTTTTCTTTAGCCCAGGTAAGACGCTTCTGACGTTGTTTGTTGTTCAGGAGCGGCTTGACAAGAGGAATACGAAATTTGAAGCCCATGTCCAGGATCCGTCTGTGTGTGGTGGCTCTTGATGCACTGACTCCAGCCTCAGTCCACTCCTTGAGAAAGATGGTTTTCTGCACAACTGTCAGGTCAGCAGTCTTTCCCATGATTGTGATTCCTACTGAACCAGATTGAGAGACCATTTAAAGGCTCAGGAACCCTTTGCAAGTGTTATGGCTTAATTAGCTGATTAGAGTGGGACACTTTGAGCCTAGAATATTGCACGTTTTCACAATATTCTAATTTTCTGAGATTGTGGATTTGGGGTTTTCATGAGCTGTAAGCCATAATCATCACAATTATGACAAATCACGGCTTGAACTATCTTGCTTACATGGGCCGGCGGGCCATCTTTAACCCTTTCATGGTCAGTTTTTTGTTTACCTACTATGTTTTTGTCTACTATGGATCAATAAATTACCTTTTAAAACGATAGCACACCATTCTGGCACCTTTTTTTGGGACTCTTGCTGAGTCCACCACCCACAGAGTCCTCAGGGAAGGGAGTCCAGAGGTGCTGTATCCAACTGGATGATCCAGAGGGTCCCCTAAAAGGATAGAAGTGCCCAGAGGGAAGCCCGGAGATGGTAGATGTACCCATTTGATGATTCCACTGAACCATGGAGATGTTTTCTATATGTATATTGGAATTATGCATCTGGTGAGTGTATAATTTGAATATTTAATCACCAGAAGACGCACAGTGGATCACATACTTCATTCATTTATATACATAGACTTTGGCACTTTAAGATTAAGTGGTCACTTTTATGTATATGCTCTACTGTCACTTTCAGCTATCTTCGCATTAACAGTGGGATTTTATGCTTATTTAGAATATGCTATTGTGATTACAGATCAATTTTCTTGTTTTATCAGCATTCAACATCTGAGGATTATTATTAGAACAGCGCTGCACCTTTGTTGTTAGTTTGGTTTTAAAAGGTTCTTTGGTGCCTTTTCGGTGTACAACAGCTTACTTTGTTAGCGCTCACTTTTACCTTTTTTGCATATTAGGCATATATACTGGCTTAACAAACTGTATATTCATAACAAACAGGGATCACTTGGTGCGATATAGTGGATGCTCTCCTTTCCCTATGGGTACATCTATATCTAAACAGTTTTGTACATACTTTTTTGTAGAAATTCCTAAATAAAGGTTACATTTTAGCAATGGGCCTTCTGGTGCGTAGGGACACACACTCTCCTACAGTTTAGACTTTAATTGCCCCATCGGTTTTTCTTTGTGATTTATAAGACATTGTTATTAAAGTATGAATGAAGCCTTAAAAGCATAGTCATGGAGGAATTTAACATTGGGGTTAAAAGCATGTTGCCTGAGTGGGCTATATCCTTTATTCATTGATATTTAGTGAAATTATAAAATCCCTAATACAATTATTTTTGGTATCACATTTCAAGTATTTTCATATACACTATATTGCCAAAAGTATTGAGACACCTGCCTTTACACGCACATGAACTTTAATGGCATCCCAGTCTTAGTCTGTATTGTTCAATATTGAGACGGCCCACTCTTTGCAGCTATAACAACTTCAACTCTTCTGAGAAGGCTGTCCACAAGGTTTAGAAGTGTGTCTATGGTAGAGGGTTCTCAACCTGTGGATCGCGACCACTTTGGGGGTCGAACAACCCTTTCACAGGGGTCTCCTAAGACCATCGGAAAACACATATTTCCGATGGTCTTAGGAACCGAGACACCGCTCCTCTATCAGTCTCCAGGCGGGTCCGCCCACATGCAGATACGTCCACATTTCCCTGGACCGTGATGCGTGCGCGGGATGACATGCCGCCCCTGTCATCTTGCCACATCCCCGGGATCTCTCAACAGTTCCGCCTCCTCGCCAGTGATTGGCCGCCGGAACTGTAGCTCAGGAGAGGCACACAGGTGGCCAATCACCAGCGAGGAGGTGGAGCTTGGAGAGGAGGAGCTGAGCAGCAGCGCGAAGATCAAAGAAGATCGAGCGAGGGAGTGGCCGGAGAAGGAAGACAGCTGACAGGTAAGTGTCTGTAGCGTGCAGATGGTGCTGCTGCAGCCAGGTATGGGAGAGGGAGGGAGCGGGAGGGAGCGAGCCCAGGCTGGAGCAGGAGTCAGCAAGGTAAGTATCATTGGTGTCAGTGGGAGGAATAGTGCCCCATCATTGGTATCACTAATACCAATGATGGGGCACTATTCCTCCCACTGACACCAATGGTGGGGCACTATTTTCTCCCCCCCCCACTGACACCGATGATGGGGAACTATTCCTCCCCCCACTGACACCAACGATAGGGCACTATTCCTCCCCCCACTGACACCAACGATGGGGCACTATTCCTCCCCCCACTGACACCAACGATGGGGCACTATCCCCCCCCACTGACACCAATGATGGGGCACAATTCCCCCCCACACTAGTATCAATGATGGGGCACTATTCCCCCCCCCCGACACCAATGATGGGGCACTATTCCTCCCACTGATACCAATGATGGGACACTATTCCTCCCACTGATACCAATGATGGGGCACTATTCCTCCCACACTGACACCAATGATGGGGCACTATTCCTCCCACTGACACCAACAATGTGGCACTATTCCTCCCACTGATACCAATGATGGGACACTATTCCTCCCACTGATATCAACGATGGGACACTATTCCTCCCACTGACATCAGTGATGTGGCACTACTCCTCTCATTGACACCAATGATGCGGCACTACTCCTCCCACTGCAAAATTACAGTTATGAAGTAGCAACGAAAATAATTTTATGGTTGGGGGTCACCACAACATGAGGAACTGTATTAAAGGGTCGCGGCATTAGGAAGGTTGAGAACCACTGGTCTATGGGAATGTTTGACCATTCTTCCAGAAGCAGAATTTGTGAGGTCAGGCACTGATGTCAGATGAGAAGACCTGGCTCACAGTCTCCTCTCTAATTCATCCCAAAGGTGTTCTATCGGGTTGAGGCCAGGACTCTGTGCAGGCCAGTCAAGTTCCTCCACCCCAAACTCGCTCATCCATGTCTTTATGGATCTTGCTTTGTGCACTGGTGCGCAGTCATGTTGGAACGGGAAGGGGCCATCCACAAACTGTTCCCACAAAGTTGGGAGCTGAATTTGTCCAAAATGTCTTGCTATGCTGATACCTTATGAGTTCCCTTCACTGGAACTAAGGGACCAAGCCCAACCCCTGAAGAACAACCCTACACCATAATCCCTCCTCCACCAAACTTTACACTTGGCACAATGCAGTCATGCAAGTACCGTTCTCTTGGCAACCACCAAACTCAGACACGTCCATCGGATTGCCAGACAGAGAAGCGTAATTTGTTACTCCAAAGAACATGTCTCCATTGCTCTAGAGTCCAGTGGCGTCAAAATTTACACCACTGCATCCAAAGCTTTGCATTGCACTTGGTGATGTAAGGCATGGAAGAAGCTGCTCGGCCATAGAAACCTATTCCTTGAAGCTCTCTATGCACTGTTATTGTGCTAATTTGAAGGCCACATGAAGTTTGGAGGTCTTTATCTATTGACTCTGCAGACAGCTGGCGACTTCTGCGCACTGTGTGCTTCAGCATGCGCTGACCCCGCTCTGTCATTTTACATGGCATACCACTCTGTGGCTGAGTTGCTGTTGTTCCCAGTTGCTTCCATTTGTTATAATACCACTAACATTTGGAATATTTAGCAGCAAGGAAATTTCATGGATGGACTTATTGCACAGGTGGCAACCTATCACTGTGCCGCACTTGGATTCACCGAGCTCCTGAGAGCAACCCATTCTTTCATACATGTTTGTAGAAGCAGTCTGCATGCATAGGTGCTTGATTTTATACAGCTGCAGCCATGGAACACCTGAATCCAATGATTTGGAGGGGTGTCCCAATACTTTTGGCAATATAGTGTATGATAATATGCTGCTTAACCACTTGCCTACCAGGCACTTATACCCCCTTATTTACCAGGCCAATTTTCAGCTTTCAGCGCTGCCGCACTTTGATTGACAATTGCGCGGTCATGCAACATTGTACCCATATGAAATTTTGATCATTTTTTTCTCACAAATATAGCTTTCTTTTGGTGGTATTTAATCGCCACTGGGCGCTTTACTTTTTGCGCTTTCTTTGTTTCTATTATAAAATTTTTCAAACAGGTATTTTTTCTCCTTCACTGATGTGCGTTGATGAGGCAGCACTGATGGGCACTGATAGGCGGCACTGATAGGCAGCACTAAAGGGCACTGATAGGCAGTACTAATGAGGTGGCACGGATAGGCGGCACTGATAGACAGCACTAATGAGGTGTCACGGATAGGCGGGCACTAATATGCAGCACTGATAGGCGACACTGATAGGTGACACTGATGATGGGTACTGATAGACGGCACTGACTGGCATCACTGCTGGGCACTGACTGGCGGCACTGACTGGCACAACCCCTGGGCACTGACTGGTGGCACTGACTGGCAGCACTGGTGGGTGGCACTGGTGTGCAGCACTGGTGGGTGGGCACAGGTGGGTGACACTGCTGGGCACAGGTAGGTGGCACTTCTGGGCACAGGTGTGTGACACTGCAGAGTGGCACAGGTGGGTGCACTGCTGGGCACAGGTGGGTGCACTGCTGGGCACAGGTGGGCGGAGCTAGTGGGCGCACTGCTGGGCACAGGTGGGCGGAACTTGCGGGTGGCACTGCTGGGCACCGATCATCAGGGCACTGATCATCAGTGCCCTGATGATCGGTGCCGATCCCCGCTCTGACAACTGCCGGTTCTCGGCAGTACTTTCCTCACGATCTGACAGCGTGAGGAAAGTGCAGCCGAGAACCGGCACTTGCATTTCCCTCTGATCAGCGTGTCATTGGACACCGCTGATCTCGTGGTAAAAGGCCGCTGTGATTGGCCTTTTACCACATCACGTGATCAGCTGTGTCCGTAGGACACAGCGATCACGGAGATCGCCGGGTGCGCGCCCCCTGGGGCGCGCAGGAGAGCGCGTTCTGGGAGGACGTCATATGACGTCCACTCAGAACTGGCCGGCCGCAGTGCAGCCGTCATTCGGCTATCTGCGGTCGGCAACTAGTTTAAGCAGTATTAACCCCAAAACCAAAAATGCAATATATTGAAGCTTGCCAATTATTGATGTAGTGGCTGCTAGTTTTCTATTTTAAGGTTTTTTTTTCTGTTTTCACCTGGAGATCTGGCCAGTAACACATTTCCTGCAATATATAGAGACCATTCTGAATGAATACAGGGGCACCTATGGAGAGCATCATTGTCAGTCTTGGGGGAGGGGAGTGGTTGATGTACTAGCACAGTGCTTCAAAACCTTTTTTCTGTTGGGTCACCCTTTAAAATTGTGCATCCCATTCGAAAATGTAAAAAAACTAAACTAATAGTTTTATATGTTGCAGCAACATATACATACAGAACACAATTTTAGAGGTGATTTATTTTTCCAAAGCAAACACATCTTTACACACTGGTGCTGACTAGTTTTCTAGCATTTCTCTTCTCTCTCTCAGCTAATGCCAGTGCTGACTGAGTGGGGGAAGGGGCGGGGCAAACAAAATGCTGTGCAGGTGCCGTACATCCTCCTAATCAACCAATGACATCATTGGTTGTTATGATGCTGGCAGCTGAAAGGTGCTAATGGTGAACAATAAAAATCTGTGGCTTTGTGTATCTAAAGGGCAGGCTTGATCTACCGCTGGCTTGTATACAATTTTTGGGCAATTTTGTAGACATTTTGCCAAGGCATCCTTGAAGAAGCCTGAAGGCACCCCAGGGTGGATGGGAACTTTGGTTAGAAAAAGCTGTGCTATCAGATTTAAATACAGTAACAGATTGAAGCTGAACTCCAGCTAATCAGTTACAGCAAACATATTTTCTTTTGGGATAAAGGTTTTACATAAATAAAAGTTGATTGTTTTATGCACCCCTGTCAGTCTTAAATGGTCTGCCTCATCTCTGTAACTGCAAGAGAGATTTTCCGTTGGCAAACAGCAGATTTTCTGGCTGGATCCCTAGCTGAAAATAGAAGAAAGAACGTCTAAAAGCACTTCCGCCTGGCAGCATTAGGGTCGTTGGTTCGAATCCCAGCCAAAGCACCACCTGCCTGGAGTTTGCATGTCCTCCCTGTGCCTGCGTGGGTTTCCTCTGGGTACTCCGGTTTCCTCCCACACTCCCAAGACATGCTGGTAGGTTCATTGGCTCCTGTCTAAATTGGCCCTAGTATGTGTATGTATGAATGGGAGTTAGGGACCTTAGATTGTACACCCCTTGAGGGTTAGGGACTGATGTGAATGTACAATATATGTGTAAAGTGCTGCGTAAATTGACGGCGCTATATAAGTACTTGAAATAAAAAATAAATAAAACAGAAAACTATTAAGCCATCACATCTATAGCTGGCCATAGCTGTTTTGAATCTCTGCCAGTTCAGCAGGGACCAGCCGACATTCAAACCATCTATGGTTAGGCTGACTGTACCCAGTTCGATTGTTGTATTGCTTGGGTACAGCCAGCATGTCAGATTTTTACATATGATTATTACCAGCAGCTATAGCCACTAACAATAATTACTATGTTCTCCCATCAGGGGTGGTCCCCCTCACTGGGAGAACACAGTGTCTCAGCAGGAAGGATTCCCCCATCAACACTGACTGACTCGTGGTTACAAGAAAGAAAATCTCATCATCTATGGCCTGCATAAGAATTGGTAGTCTGCAATATAAGGAATGCTTGCTTTTGGGTTTAAAGTGTTATGAAACCCACGACAGTAAAATCAGTCTGTATATGCAGTAAAGCATGCTTGTTATACTCACTGTGGAAACTATGGGGTTAATCCTCTACATTGTGTAAAAAGGCTGTTTGATCCTTTCTTCTCTGCTCCTCCTTTTGTTGCAATGACCACCTGATACAGACTGAATCTGTAGTTACATACACATACTCAGTTTGGTGTGTATTGCTAGAGAGCTTTTTTTTTTCTTGGGAGAGTGCATGTGATCAGCACAGGGCAAATCAGCACTGTCCAGACAGAGGGTCAGGACTTTCACATTCTCCTAGAGCAGAAAGAAAACTCCTCCTACAAGCTTTAACCAGTGCTCTGCTGAAGTCACAAGACTGCTCTAACTGCTGATGAGAAAAGGTATTTAGCAGTTTATATTTACTAAAATAATTGCACTTCCATGTTATGGGTACTGTGGGAGACCAGATATAGTGAATGCAGGATCCTGGGTTTAGTATAATTTTAATGCTGCTTTAATGCATCAAAGAAGTAATGACTTCAGCCATTATTAATACCTAAAATTTTGGAGGGATATTTTAATGTAAGTAAGAACTTCTGCTCTAGTCTTTATACAATTTTCTATGGAGTAAAGACTATGGTGAGCTCTCTTTCTGGGACACAGTTTCAAAGTCTATAGATTGTTCATAGAAGTATGTACCTTAACTTAAATTAGCAAAAATTCTAATGATTGAATCATGGTTTTCTTGAACGGCAAGGATTCCTCACTTGGTCAGAACACATGGTAATGCCTACCCATCACTTCACATCCTGATCGGCTTTGGTCTCTTCCAAAAGTCAGATGGTCCCTTATCATCACTTCCTGTTAAATCCACTTACTGCAAAATCACTTCCTGCTTGACCAACCTTTTCAGAGCAGCTAAGCAACTTAGAATTTAAAGCTATTGAGTGAAAGTAGCAGAAAACACAGTTAACTCCTTCAGTTCTATGTGGGAGCAAAAACTGTTTTTGCACTATTATTGCTGTGAAATGCACTGTAAAAATATGGTCATGACATGCTACAATACCATATTGTGTGACAATTGCACGGTCATGCAACACTGCACCCATATGACATTTTTATAATTTTTTTCACACAAATAGAGCTTTCTTTTAGTGGTATGTACTCGCCGCTGGGTGTTTTATTTTTTGCGCTATAAACAAAAAAATTGCAACAATTTGGAAACATTTTTTTTCTTTGTTTCTATTCTACTCTCTAGCTCCCTTATCTCCTCTTCCCATGCTTGTCTCCAAGATTTCTCCAGGGTGTCACCCATCCTCTGGAACTCCCTACCCCAATCTATCAGACTATCACCTATTCTACTTACCTTTAGGCGATCATTGAAAACCTATCTCTTTAGGGAAGCTTATCCCGGCCTCTGCTAATACTGGAATCCTCTACTCTTCCAACCACTCCATCACACACAGTTTTACCCATTGTACCACTCACCCTTCCCTCCTATATTGTAAGGTCCAAGGAGCAGGGCCTTCAAATCCCTCTTGTTTTGAACTGTATTGTTACTGTATTGTCTCCCACTATAATGTAAAGCACTGAGCAAACCATTGCCGCTATATAAATCCTGTATAATAATAATAATAATAATATTATACATTTTTGCAAACAGGTAATTTTTCTCCTTCACTGATGTGCATTGATCAAGCTGCACTGATAGGCAGCACTGATGGGCACTAATAGGCAGCACTGATGGGCACTGATAGGAGGCACTGATAGGTGGCACTGATGAGCTGGCACTGATATGAAATAATGATGGTCACTGATAGGCGGCACTGATGGGCACTGATAGGTGGAACTGATGAGCTGGCACTGATATGCAACAATGATGGGCACTGATAGGTGGCACTAATGGGTGGCACTGACTGGCGGCACTGCTGGGCACTGACTGGCAGCACTGCTGGGCACTGATGGGTGGCACTGCTGGGCACAGGTGGGTGGCACTGATGGGCACTTGTGGGCAGCACTGCTGGGCACTGATGGGTAGCACTGCTGGGCACCGATCATCAGGGCACTGAT